CCGTCATATCCAAATAGTACGTATATGCCACATCATGATGGTCTGATTCGTTAAGGAGTCAAAAAGTAACAAACAAACAAACAAACCGGCCAACTTAATTACATGTATAACATTAGTAAAAAATATTGCATAATTAAATTATGTTCTACAAAAAATATCGGCTTCAATTGTGGCAGTACAAGTTTTTTATGATCTAAAAAAAATTACTGTACCGATTTCGATAAAATTTCTATGGAACGAATTTGTAAGTATATCCTTTTAGATAAAAAAGGAACTTTCTAAATTAGTTTACAACTAAAGGAATTATGAAGTAACAAACATTAAAAATAAACGTATCTACAACCGAATCGAGAACTTCCTTCTTTTTTGAGTCAGTTCAAAATACTAGTTTAACGTACGCGCAGTTTTTAGAAGAAGGAAAACCAATATAGTAGACCAATTTGTAGATGGTATATCGTGCTAAAACACCAGATTTTAAGTTACACCTTCAGGAACACAACTGTTAAAACCGCATTCAATTTGATACAGTAATTCTTGCGTGATGCCAGACTAAATTTAAAAAAATCGTTTGTTTTATATACATCCTCCTCATCATCATATCAGTCTTCAACCGTCCACTGCTGAACATAAGCCTCCCCCTTGGGGGGTTTTGCCAGTAGTTGCCACGCTTGACAGGCGGATTGGAAACCGCGGTTAGGCTTTAGAGATGTTTTAAGAGGGACGCTGCTGCCCATCACTCATCCTCCCTTAGTCGCCTCTTACGACACCCGCGGGAAAGGAAGGGGTGGCCCATTCTACGTCGGGACCACACGGCGGTTGGTTTTGTATTACATCTATTAGGACCACTTAAATTTTTTTTAATATTTTCCATGTACAGACATCGTCCAGTTACAATTTTATTATATTAGATTACATATCGTTGAATGTTGTGTTTCTACGTCGGCAACAGTGAGTACATCTCTGTACAGTAGCGATTATAGGCGTGTGCATACCTCTGTTTACGCTTTGTACAAAAATTTAATAAAAAATATATAGGTACATAAGGAAGACGATTTTTGTATAATTTGGACGATTTGAGTACCTACCCAGGGCTACATCTGTCCACTTCGTATTTCTGCCGCCAAACGGCTGTACTCGCGTGGCCGTCTCGCTTTGAAGGGTGCAATACGGCAGTGAAAGTACAGGGTCGGAGACACTTTAGTCCTCAAAATAGCAGTGCATGAGACGCGCTAGGGGCTTCACAATACAGTTGGTGCTGTCAATAGTAATGCCGTCGGTGGATATTATCAAAACTCATTAACAAGAGTAAGCGACATCTGTAATCTATATCATTTTTATTTTAGTTGATTCATTTAATTATGATCAATGCAACAAAACATAAACATAATAATATTTTTATTTAAGAAAGATACAGTTGCATAAGGTACAATTTACAATTTTTACAATTTATATACAACGAGGAAATATCTGCATTACCATTAGTCCCCAAACCAGGCCAGACCTGTATCTTATAAAGCAAAGCTTAACTCATTCCATAGATGGAACTGCTATGGACAAAATTATAAGATTGTTTTACAAAGTAGTTGGTTAATAAAAAATAATGAAATAAAAAAAATCGCAACTTCTAACATATATGTTACTCCGTTGAGGATGGAATTCAATGTGATGTAGTTAGGCCATTCTTTAATTAAATAACTAACACTAAGCGTAACGCTATTGAGTCATTTATAATGAGTCTTTCATACAATAGCTGAATAGCCAAATAGCCGGCTATTAAACCATAAATAGCCATGTTCAATGAGTTATTTAAATTTTGGCTAGTTACCCATCGCTATTTTTTATGAAATATGGATTGTGATTTTTGATCGGTTATGATGGTCGGTTAATTTTTTTTATGCAACATAAAATAGCAAACAAGCTGACGGCCCACCTGATGAAAAGTGGTAACCGTCGCCTATAGACATGAGCAGTACCATGGACATAACAGAGTATACTGTTTCGCCCATGCGTGCCATTTCTGAGGACTTAAGTGTTATTCCTCTGTACCCAGTAAATTCACTGTCATATCTTATCCTTTAAACCGAAACAGCCATACAAACACAACTGATTCACGGTAGAAACACGAATGGGACAGAGGTGCCCAAGCAAACGACTTTTGTATAAAGTCTCCCTCTGGTGAATACTCTTATTATCGATTGTTACTTGATTTAACTGGTAATTAATCATGCAAAAACACAAAATATATATGTATAAAGTGCTATCAAATATTTATCGATAATAAATATTTATATATTATTTATTGACTGTACAAATACAGTTCTATCTATCTATCCAATTCCTTTGTTACTATTTCCACAATATATAGACACCATTTCACTACAGGAGAGTGTACCTTAACAACATAGCCAGAGATAATACCAACAATAGTGAACTTTCCTCCACAAAGTGATCACTCGCAGTCAACCTAACGTAGTGGAACAGGAAATATTTACAATACATTGAACATTCATAATGTTATTTAGGTATCGAATGTAAGACAATGTTTTCTCATAATTAGTGCTCGCTCTATGTACAAGAATGTGAACATAGTAATAGAGACTGCCGTCTAAGACGTTTAGCAGTAATTTTCTACTGTATTCGCATAATTGTTAGTCGCGCACACCAAATACAAGGTTTTGGCTAAAAGCGATCCGGAATGAGTCAGATTTGATAGAGATCAGAGTCTCTAGACAAGTGGCCACATAAAGAGACGAAAAGAGCGAATCAGCGATCAAATTTTTACTTATACTGATTTAAAGTTTCCTCTTGATTGAGTCATGGTCTAGTCCGTTTATTATTTTTGACAGACTTCAAAAATATCCGACTTTTTTAATTTATTATGTAATTATGTATTTTTATTACTACATTCTTTAAGTATTGCTCTGATGATTGTTTTTAATCAAAAGAGTTTGCTCCCGTGTCGTTTTCACATGAATTATATTATTAATACATGACAAAAATAATCTATAATCCTTTGGCCATCAACTTTATTGAATTTTGATTTATTGTGCGAGTTTTGCTAGAAGTAATATACGAGGTCTGTCCGGAAAGTTCGTATAAAAGTGTTCTGGAATGCGAGAAAGAGGAGTGGGGAGGCCAGGTAAGCGCAGGACCCCTTCCTTATGTCCCTAACAATGCTTCAGTTCTGGTCTGACCGCCGTGCGGTGCGAACTGGCTTGTCACGCCATCTGTGAAGTTACCTCTTAACGAAACCCCGTCGGCATGGAGCCCGCTTCCGTTGAAGAGCAGCGCGTCGTAATCAAGTTTCTCTCGAAACTCGGCAAGAATGGCCGTGAAAGCAAAGAGTGGAAGACATCCGGGGAACCACGAACAAAAAAATCAAGAAAATCCCGCTCAAATGTCAAGACAATGTTGATTGTTTTTTTCGATGTTCGTGGGATTGTCCATCAAGAATTCGTCCCTCCAGGCCAGACAGTTGATGGAAAATTCTACGTCGATGTGCTCAGACGCCTCAAAGCTCGTGTGGCACGAGTTCGTCCAGAATTGGCGCGAGAGGGGCGTTGGATTCTTCACCACGACAATGCCCCTGCCCACACCTCTCTTGTTGTCCGTGAGTTTTTGAGTAAAAATTCCATTACGGTGACCGAACACCCCCCCTATTCGCCGGATTTGGCCCCGTGTGACTTCTTCTTGTTCCCAAAAACCAAATTGGTACTTCGGGGGCGGCATTTGGGGGACATAAATGAGATAAAAAAAGCTACGACGGGGCAGCTGAGAAACCTACAACCAGAGGACTTTCAAGGAGCCTTCTCACAGTGGAAACGGCGTTGGCACAAGTGCATTATGTCACAGGGGGAGTACTTTGAAGGGGATAAAATTGATTTACCTGAATAATTGTAAAATAAAATTTTTAAAAAACTTTTATACGTACTTTCCGGACAAACCTCGTACATGCAATTCGCTCGCGGTCGGCTCGTGACGCTACCGCTACCGCTACCGCTACCGTCCTGCGCCGCCACCGCCACCACCACTGTCATCGGCACCACTTAACTAATAACGGACGTCGTCATATTGTTCTGATAGAATATCGCTGTACTCGTACTCGTATATAACGCGGCCGGACCGAACATATTTACAGGCGGTTATTTTCGATTTAATTAAAATAAGTATGTATATGTAAGTCCAGACTAGGTATTTATAATTTTATTATCATCAGATTCATTCCACTGAGTTAACAGGAAATTGAATGTTTTGACTATTATAAAAAAGAAATTCCTATAATTTAGTTAAAATTCCTGAAACGAGGTTTTTTTTTTAATTTGGACTGAGTTATTTTTAATTATTATTTGTACATTTATGCTATTTTCTTAGGCAATATAAGTGTAATATTAGCATAAATATTAGAATACAATAATATTATTAAGTATAATGCAAACACTTTAATATAAAATTAAATTACATTGTTATGACACAATTACTTGAATTATTAATAAAAGAGTCACTATTTTCAGGGGACTTTAAAAGGAAAGAGATTTTATATTGGACTTTATATATTTTATAAAAATGCTCTTTGTTATTTGACCATAGGTATATTTAAAAATCTGTATTAAATTAAAATTATTACTACTTCAATTAATTTCGACTCTAATTAATAATAATTTTAAATTTACAAAGATTCTAAAATATTAATATTCAAAGAAATCAGTTAATTATAAAAAATATAAATGGCTGCCACTTTTACTGACATTATTTGTCCATGTTTAGAGTGCACGTGGATCCATAAATATTGATTTTTAATCTTCACCTTAAAATTTTACTATTTCTTAAAACCTCATTCTTTGAAATATATTAAAAATAAATAAAAAAATATTATAGTTAAATAATTAAAAAAGTTACAATTTTCATGTATTTACCTTAATTTGTTTCTTTTCCAAATATGTGTATGTAGAGTATATTAGTGTATAGTAGTGGTATGATGTGATGCGCTCGCGCTCGCGCAGACATCCGGCTGCAGCTGGGCGAGCAGGCGCGCGTGCTGGAGGCGCGCGCGGAGGCGGCGGCGGGCGTGGCGGGCGAGCTGCACGACTACTGCCGCCGCCGCGCCGACCTCGAGCACGACTACGCGCGCGCGCTCGACAAGCTGGCGCGCGCCGCGCTGCAGCGCCACCGCGACCACCGCCACAAGTACTGCCTCCCCCGCCACCACTATACTCAACTCAAATACACTGCGAACTTTCTGGAAAATATAAAATAAATCATGTCATTTTTTCATTTAAAATCATGTAATCACTCTTTATAATGTCATAATATAAAGAAATTATAATAGTTTTTAGGGAAATACCAAAAAACAGCAATGTAATCTACATATTGAAACCGTAAAATTTAAAATACATTGCGCGCCGTCAAAACTAAGAATCGTTTATTATATGGCTGTGGTGTATTTCCGGTGGAAAAATAATAAGCCGTTTGATTTAGACCATTCATCTAAATCAGCTATTTTCGTTTTGGTCAATCTGCCCCTTTCACCTGTATATATTTCTCCTCAGTCGTACACTCTTGACAGAGTGATCGTGATTTTTATAATAATAATAGATCAACAATGAGGCCCTCCTTCGCGACTGAGGTCCTCGCAATGCGTCTCCATCTACTTTTGCTCACAGCCGAGCGAGAGCATTCCACAATAGATTGATGTGTGACCCTTGGACATTTAGACGTTCCATACAATTTTCATTTCGGATGATATGGCCGAAGTACTTAAGAATTCGTATTTGAACAGTCGACGATAATCTTTCTCTGATTTTCAGTTCGTTCAGAACGGAAACGTTAGTTCGAAAGGTAATCCAATTGCAGCAGTCGTCACCAGCACCACATCTTTAGAGCATCAATTTTTCTTGTTGCCTGATCGTCCAAGTTTCTACACCATACAGGAAAATTAGGAAAACCAAACTCATTATATGTATTTTGGTATTTTTCGTGATGTTGCCGTTCTTTCAGATTTTATACAGTTTACTCGCAGCTGTTTTTGTGCACATAGCACATCTCCTTATTTCATCCTCACACCCTTCCGTGATCGTGGAATCAAGTTATACGTGACTCGTAACAACTTCACAGTTGCCGGTTGTCATTATATTTGGTCTGTTATGTTCAACTCTGGCCACGATCATCATTTTAGTTTAGGTTCTATTGATTTCGAGTCCAAAGGAGAGGCTTACAGTTTCCAAGCGTCTCAAAAATAATTCCATGTCGTTCTTAGACTGCGCAAGAAGAGTAGTATCATCAGCGTATCTCAAGTTACACATCCGTCGACGCCAACCGAGACGCTTTCGTCCCACCCGTCCAACACCAGTCTCATAATACATTCTGTATATGCGTTAAACAATAGCGGCGAAAGAATGCAACCCTGTCGAACACCTGGCACCCGAACCTGTATATATATATAAAAAAAAATAATAAATATGAATCTGAAGGTGAACGTTTTCAGCAATCCATACGAGTAAATAAAACATCAAGAGCATCGTTACTGAAACAGAGATAATACTTTTAATATGCAATGAGAGGATTTTAGAATGAAAACTACAGAAAAGATGAGGAGACAGACATTAGCAAAATGTATTTTGAATGTAAAAACAATATGTCATAAAAATATATAAATTTCGAATGACAATAAGAATATAAAAATGTAGGAAGGAGTTCGCTACAGTTACAATAATTAATCGAGCACCTACCCCGCTAATATTTGAAAAACAATACATCTATATTTCTTGTCGAAGATGTCAGATTTGATACGGTATTCGATAAAAAATGTTTCTTGACGTACTTAAAACTCGGCGACGTCGGTGGCAGGCGCGAGCAGTGGCCGCTGACGGGCGCGTTCGCGTGCTGGCAGGCCGCGCTCGAGCACACGCGGGCGCTGTCCCGCGACCACGCCGCGCTCGGCGAGCTGTATGCGGGGCCGCTGGCCGCGCGGCTGCAGCGCGCCGCCGACCACGCGCTGCGCCTGCACCGCAAGTGCCGCGACGTGCTCGCCGAGCGCCACGACGAGCTGGCCGCCGCGCTGGCCGACGCGGGCCAGGCGGCCAAGCTGCACGCCGCCGCCGCCGCCGACTGGCGCGCCGCCGCCTCCAAGCTGCGCGCCGCGCACGACCAGCGCGCGCGCCTCGCCGCCGCCGACCCGCCGCGCTCCAAGAAGATCAAGGCGCTCGACAAGGAGCTCGACAAGGTAATGAGCTGGCGCCGCCCGGCCTCGCCCGGCCTCGCACGCTCGCGCCGGCGCCGCGCTCACCTCGTTTCGTTTGCAGCGGCGCGCGCGGCACAGCGAGGCGCGGGCCCGCGCACTCAAGGCGCGCGCCGACTACGTCCTGAGCCTCGAGGCGGCCAACGCGACCCTGCAGCGGTACTACCTCGACGACATCGCCGACATAATGCTGGTGAGACTCGCGGCCGCGCCCGCCCCGCCCCGCCCGGGGCGAGCGCGGCCGCGTCACCGGGAACCGTTGGCTGCAGTGCACGGAGGTCGGCTTCGAGGCGGTGGTGGGCCGCGCCGTGCGCACGGCGGCCGCGGCCGAGGCGGCGCGCGCGCACGCGGCGGCGGCTGCGGCCGGCGCACTGTTGGCGGCAGCCGACGCGCTGGACGCGCTGGCCGACCGCCAGCGACTCGTGGACGCGCACGCGGCCGCCTTCGCGGCGCCGCGGCCGCTGGCCTACCAGGGCACGCCGCCCGCGCGCGAGGACGACGAGCTGCGCGAGCTGCTGGGTGGCGCGGCGCCCGACAGCGACGCGGCCGCGGACGCTGTGGCCGACGAGCTGGCGCAGCGACTGCGCCAGCTCGAGGACGGCGCGCGCCGCCTGCGCGCCGAGTGCCGCGAGAGCGCCAAGACGCTCGACGCGGCCGAGGCGGAGCTCGTGCGCCAGATGGAGGGCGGCGATGCCCAGTGGGACGTGAGTGGCCTCTTCGGGCCCGGCGCCACGCCGCCGCCCGCGCCGCCGCCCGACGACGCCGAGACGCCGCGTCGCGACCAGGAGGACTACTACCTGCACAAGTTCCGCTCGTACGTCGCGTGCGCGGGTCGCCTCGCGCGCCTCGAGAGCAAGGCGGCGGCGGCGCGCGCGCGCCTGCTGCCCGGCGTGCCCGCGCCGCCGCCGCCGTCGCCGCCGTCGCCGCCGTCGCCTCCGCGCCGCGCCGCCGCGCGCCTGCGCCGTGGCCAGTTTGCGGCGCCACTCGATAACCGGCTGCCCGTAGTGCTGACGTCGTGCGTGCGCGTCATCTCGACGTATGGTACGTATGCTTGGCCGCTCATGCCCATATTCCAAATTCAAATTTTTTAAATCATCTTTATACAGACTTATTTTCAAGTACTTTATAATCGTATTTTTTTTAAATCTACTCCAAGATTCGAAAAGTTGTTATCTGTTAAGAAGAGCTCGCAGGAAAGTCTACAGTTACTCTTTTAAATCTCTGTTAACATTATGTTTATTATTAAATGTACTATGTCTAAAATTACATGATCATTTGAGAAGCCCGAGCATCATCGATTAACATTATGCACATTTGTTATTCATGTAATCGTTTAGTGCAGGGATTCCCAAACTTATGTTGTCTACTATGTTTAAGACTGGTTTAGCGTGTAATAGGCTTTGTTCAGTAGGTATTTTTAATAACAGTTTTAAACTTATTAAAATGTAGACCCAAAATATCCTTTGGCCGATTAACTTTTTCTAAACGATATTTCGGAACAGCAAGTTCGTATTTGTATCTAGTGTTAAGATTATTTAGATCGTTGATTTTAAGAAATAGATGAAGATTTTGCGTATATACAAAATGTTTGCGTATATGTACTGTGAAACTACGGTAAGAATGTTTGTTTGTTGAAGAAGAAGCTAGCTTTTTTCAGTTTATCATGATTTTCACAATCGAAAGCCTTAGATAGATCACTAAAAACGCTATTATTATGAATTATTTCGTTAAAATAATTTCCCTATTGATTCAACATAATTTTCTTAAAAATTTTACGCAGTGCGGGAAGATTGGAAATGAGTCTATAATGTACTAGATCACTTTCAATTTCATCTTTAAAAAGCGATATAATTTTACTAAACTTCATTATTTAATTAACATTAGGAAATTTAGTGTCATCCTATTAAAAATAAAAGCAACAGACGATGCATCAGTTTCAATTATTTTACCAAATGTTTTTTATTTATTTCTTAATTTGTTTTAATAGATATACGCCAAAGATCCTCATAAAATTATTAAATATTTTGCTTAAGCAAAGGGACTTAGCTGTTTTGTAAACCCTTTTAAACGTTTTAAAATACGATTTTACATACTCGTGAAACAATACATCTATTGTATAGTTACTTTGTTGATATAATTCATAAAGGTTGGCCCTAGATTTATACATACCAGACGTCGCCCAGTCGCGAAACTTTGTTTTTACATTTATAATAAAAGTTTTTGTTTTGAATTCACTACTAGCTTCACGTTCAATTACATTTAAACAGTTTTTCACATTCGCTCATTCTCATTCACATGCATCATCCGAGTCATCATTGATATTTTCGAAACAAATCTTTTAAATTCAATTTTACGTTTAAACCGTGACAAATTATTTTTAGTGATCTGCCGACATGTTATTTTTTTAAGGTCCTGTGTCACTATTGTTTTTAATTACGATTTTTGTTTAAAATGATCTGAGCCTAGACAGCTAGAATTAATTTTAACCTTAGCTTCACAGTTTAAAAAAAATGTTATCGAAGCAAGTGGCGGAATTATTAGCGACTGTATGAGGTTCTAAAAATGGATTATGTAGATCTAAATAAATGTGGTTGCAGGGCTGCACCACCAGGGCATCTTCCGCGTATCGGGGTCGCAGGTGGAAATGCAGGCGCTGCGGGCCGCCTTCGAGCGTGGCGAGGACCCGCTGGCGCACGTGCGGGACGCTTCCGACATCAACTCGGTAATACTTAGTGATGACAAGCTCTGCAGCTCTGCATTCCATGTACAATGTGCACAACTCGAATAATAACACAAAATCATATGTTCATTTTAAGAAACGATTTGTTTGTATACCAAACCGATCATTATCATGATTTCAATCTGTATATATCCACTACGATACGTAGGCCTTCCCCAATGTCCCACCACGTGCGATCCTTAGCTTTTCGCATCTATCCATTTCAGTCCGTCTTTTTAATATCGTCGGTCCCTCTAGAAGGAAAGTAGCCCTGCATCTTTCTGTACGCGATCTCAGCTCCAAGATTTTTTTTCTCCATCTATCATTGCTGACTCAATAAATATAGCCCTCTATTACTTCACCTGACATTTATGAGAGCTATATCAATTATTTTAGCGGAATGCGTCTATCAATCTCTTTATTGAAATGGCCCAGACCAAGCTGCGTCACTTGTCCGAGGTATAGGTATTCCTCATACGTTTTGAAGCAGTTTTGGAAATTATTTATAATTCGATTGAGATCCTCCAACGTTTCAGTCAATACTATACATCATCGGCAAATTGGAGATGTGATATATACACGCCATCAATATTAATACCTCGTATATTTCAATTCAGAATCTTGAATACGTCTTCTAGTGTAGCCGGGAATAGTTTAAATGGGATTACGTTTTTTCGGTCTCACATCCTATACACTGGATAGTCTTGGACTGCTGACCCAGAATCAAACGAAGTGTCGTTAACCAAATAAATAGTTTTATCGAATATTTATCCAGCAGAATAGGCGCGTCGTGTACGATATTTTTTTTATGGGTGAGAATGGAATTGTAACCCTGCCTGCGCTATCGTTATGCGCTGGCGGGGCACCACTAAGGGATGATAGGTGAGAATGAAATGCAGGTCAGTTAGTCCATCGTGATCTGAAATTCAACACAATGTTTTCCAGGGAGGACCACGAGGAGGTCAACCTGATAGGGTGTATTGCTAGTAATGCGGAAATTAGACCCCATTACTAACAATCCCTTTCCTCCCTCGTGTAAGATATTGTCAGGAAATTACGTCCTCATACCGAGGAGCGTCGTATAGTGGTAGTAGTAGCGTGTGTGAGGCGGCGCGTGCGCAGGTGTGCGGGCTGCTGAAGCTGTACCTGCGCTCGGTGCGGCCGCCGCTGCTGGCGCCGGCGCTGCAGGAGCCGCTGCTGCGGCTGGCGGCGCTGCCGGCCGACGCCGACTTCGTGCGGCGGCTGCGCGCCACGCTGGCCGCGCTGCCGCGCCCGGCGCTGCTCGTGCTGCGCTACCTGTTCGCCTTCCTGGCGCACCTGGCCGCGCACAGCCACCGCAACATGATGGACGCCTGGAACCTGGCCATCTGCCTCGGGCCCACGCTGCTGGCCGCCTGGGGCGAGGGCGGCGCGCAGCTGGCCGCGCAGAACCTCGTCAACGAGCTCGTCAAGCGCACCATCCTGCACCACGCCGACGTCTTCCCGCAGGACATCGAGCCGCACGCGCTCTACCGCCCGCCGCCCTCGCCGCCGCCCTCGCCGCCCGCCGACCGCGCCGACGGCGCCACCGCGCCGCCCGCCGCCGCCGCCGCCGCCGACGACCTCTCGCTTTACGACGATGACGACGACGACGGTGAGTCTCGTCCCTGTCGTCACACCGGCCGCCGCTGCCCGCTGCCCGCTGCCTATTCTTGCATTTCGACATGATATTATAAAATAAGATGACCCTCGATACTCTTAAATGATTCAACGATTGTTCTTTTTGTCAATTTTCGACGTCCCTCTACCACTCTATAATCATTCTACCATCGTATTAATAAGCTCCCCTCTTTCCCCTGTCGGAAAACTGACGTCATAACTATTAATTGTGTGACTAGAGAAAACGGTGACATAGTGTGACAAAACTTTTTATAAAATCTATAAATAACTGTATTGATAAAAAGTAAATATGGTGCAAAACAAAACTTGTACTTATTATATTTCCAGATGAGATCAGTGAAGACGGCGAGAGTGGAGAGTGGTGCGACCCCGCCTGCACAGAGAGCCACAGGTCTGTGTAATGCTCACCTTTTGTTTACGTATGTACACCTTTTTTTTACTCTGTTGACGAATTTTTCAAGAAAGAATAGATAAATTTCTAATATAGTTGTCGATGCATAAATTAAATTAATCAATTTCTGTCAAAATGTGACATTTGCATGCTATTCTGTAATGGCTAAATAGGCACGAAACTTTATGTAATGTAAGACCACCGATACCTACCCTATTTAAAGCAAATAAATTTATTATTATTATTATTATTATTATTATTATGTACTGCTATATCTCCTTCATTATTCTACTAATTCACTGTTTCACTCATAAAACTCGACCCAGTATAAGTTACGTTTTTTTTTTTTTTTGTCATACCCGCGCACTCAATAACCGACACACTGCCAGTCACGACAAAAAACTCTAGAATCATAGATTAAGGATAGTACGACTACAGGGGGTCTACCATGAAATGAATTTACAAATTTTCGGACTTAATTTCGTGTTTTCGTTCATACAGGAATCGGTACAGTAAATGGAGTTTAATATGTTGTTCGTCATAAATGACTGAAACTGCGCAGAGATGTTGCACCTCTGTGCATCTTGTACCGAATTTATCATGGGGAGTGTTCTGAGGTTGTTCGAACGAACCTGCTGCTGATTTTCACCACCGTACAACCCGCCACAAACTAAAGTTTCATCCCAATCATATGGACGAGTGGCGGTCTTCCACCGTACGTTTTTCAAGGCACTTTCTTCCACGCACAACCATTCTTTGGAATCTACTTCCAGCAGCAGTATTTCCGAACCGATACGACAACATAACCTTCAAGAAAAGAGTATATTCCTTTTTAAAAGGCCGGCAGCACACCTGCAATGCTGCTGATGTTGTGGGTGATCATGGGCGGCGGTAGTCACTTACCATCAGGTGAGCCGCACACTCGTTTGCCCCTGTGTTGTAAAAAAAAAATCCTATCATAAAAGTCCAAAGGAACGATATTTTAACATTTTAAACAATTTGTATTATACAATTTTAATAACAAATTTGTGTTTCGTTCGGCCCCGAAATTTCGGAAATCATTTCATAGTATGTACTATATACGACACGTTTCCACCGCTGGTGTAGAGTAAGAACCAAGTTAAAGTTACCATATAATTTATTATTAAACTACCCACAACACGTACTGTATATTACATCTCTTGTAGTAGCACTAAGAAACTCTAAATTGATGTTTCCCAACGTGGGGTCCACGCCTCACGGGGGGGCAATTTGATAGTTAAGGGGGGGGGGGCAATTAAAAAATTTTAACCTTCTTGTTCAACTTGTACCAAATTTAACAAAGAAACTTAATTAAAAAAAACGCTGTAAATATTTATTGGGTATAATTTCGTTTGACGTTACCAAAATATCAACTGGGTAATAAGAGTCGTCAAGTAAAATTTGTCGAAAAAAATTATGAATAGGGGCATAAAAATTTTAAAAATATTCAAAAGGGCCATGACAAAGAAAAGGTTGGGAAACATTGCTTTAGATATTGTATTTTAACTGGCATTCAATTTAAAGTGACAGAGAAGACATTTATAAGCCACAGTATATGATTCATCCGTGGTTTCTCCAGCAAAGAACATGAAATATGTCTATATTTAGAATCTGATAATGTGACTGTATTACACACACATAATTATACAGTGCGAAATGAAGTAAACAATGTTAAGGAATTGAATAATACTGGACTACAAATATTATATTAGTTGCGCAAATATACATGTGACTTATTTTAAGGTTAATCGATGTGTACGTGGGATGTAATGGAGACGAGCGCTGTGTATTATTAACGATTTACTACTGACAAGCAAGTGTAACAATATGTCTATGGGTGGACACGCATAGTTCATCTGAATGTGGCTAGGTCATCTTCATACATCATCTTTCCACCCTTATTTTGAAACTTGTTGACGAAATAAACAATTTACATAGTATTTATATAGCGAATTAATACAAATCAGCTGCATCTGGATCTATGGGATAAAAATCACTACAGTCCCCACACTGCTATTCTGAACCAGGCAATCGAATATCAACCTTTGATTGCGGCTCCGTGTGACAGGACTCATAATCATTATATATTTAACAAAAAATACCAAGTACAAATAAACGAAGAGGAAAAGGACCTATCCGGTGTACATGAATTACGCATATACACCGATGGCTCCAAAACTGAGAACGGTTCAGGAGCCGGAGTCTTTTCCTTAGATCTTAATATAAACGTGCACATACCGCTTGGTGACCACAGCTCAATATTCCAATGCGAATGTGTTGCAATAACCGAGGCTGCTGCAGCTGTACATAAGCTAGGAATAAATGGTTTTAGCATTACATTCTTATCCGACAGCGCAGCAGTACTAAAAGCATTACGAAACAACAAGACAAACAACAAACTAATAATTGAATGCCACCATTCACTGGATAGGATATCTTCCAATAACCGAGTTTTCCTCCAATGGATAAGAGGGCACAGTGGATCTTATGGTAACGATGCCGCAGATGAACTAGCTAGAAGAGGCTCAGGAACGAGGGTGGTAGGCCCGTATCCACTTCTTCCTCTTCCATTCTCACAACTTCGAATGTGGATTCGTCAAAGATCCGCTAACATACAAAACCAAAGATGGATACAGGCTACTGATTGCAGACAATCAAAATTAGCCGTGCCTACGTTGAATCAACGACTATCAAAACGTTTATTATATCTAGATAGAAAAAACCTCAAAGTAATGATAGGGACAATAACGGGTCATTGTCCATTAAACAAACATCTATACACAATAGGAGCCACAGACAGCCCTCTATGTCGAGGCTGTTTCGACGCCGAAGAAACGGCTGCTCACGTAATCCTGGAATGTGAGGCTGTGGCCCATCAACGTTTAGAAATCCTCGGAACGGTGAGGTCGCTTCATGAGGCCTGTGAAGAACCCAGGAAGCTTCTGCGCTTCTGGGTGGAGCTAGGTTGGCTGCACTAGCCACGACTCATACGCACAATGGCCCAAGTGAGAGGCTAAGCGCGGAAAATGGAGTCTTTTTCACATTTTCACATACATGTCGGCTCTCACTTAAAATATACAGCATAATGCATTGTTTTTCTGGACCGTTTGGAGCATCCCTGTGACGATTGCAGGCTGTCTACCAGTCTGAATTGTACAAGTGCCTTCAGGTGCCTGAACCTGTGACCCCTACTGCGTGGAATCCTCGCCCTCACGTATCGTCACCGTACAATTATTACTATCAACATGAACAGTGCTAGTAGCTACATTTGTTAGTGGCACTTGGCTATTTTCCTAATAGTTACGACGGTTTATGTTTGTGCAATATGACTGCTTGAATAATGAGGAATAAAATACATATTACAGAGCTGGCAGTGCAGAGCGACGGCTGCCGCCGGTGCCGACGCAGGTAATACCAAATATTGGGAAAATATAGCTTTGTAGTATTTCATATAAATAGTGACATTCCGAATTAAGTTTTGCAATTATAAAAAAAAAAAAAGAATTAAAAAAAGTTTGTGGAACAAATAAGTTTTAATAAAGATGATTGTTATTCTATTCCAATACTAAATTGCGCATAATACTAGCCCTACAATACGGCGCATTTTTTGTTTATCCAAAATTGTTCAATGCCACGGAGTTACTGCTCACTCCAAGTCAAAACCTGTGGATGGTTTTCTATAGGTTTTCTATTTATCACTCGTAATAAACTTGTTAATTTTCTTAACAAAATGACTCAAGTAGAAATAGCAAAGGATGCGTTTAGTTGAGAGCCGAGTACATTTCTATCGAGTATCCAGTGAGCACTGCACTTCGGACGTTTTATTTTCTTAACAAGTAGTATTTTCCTAATTAAAAACTTTATATAAATACATTAAAAGGAACGGTAAACTGAGAAGTTAACTACGTGCGGGTGCTCGCAGGCGGCGGCGGCGAGCGTGGAGCCGGGCTCGGCCGCGGCTGGCGGCGCGGACGCCGGGCTGCAGCCGGCGGCGGCGGCGGCGGCGGCGGCGGCGGCGGACGAGGCGGCGCCGCGCCTGGCCGAGAGCACGCCCGACCTGGTGCTGGACCTGCCCGCCCGCGCCGCCGCCGCTCACGCCGGGGACGCCGACGGCGCCGGGGACACCGACGCCGACACCGACTCGGCCGACACGTTCGCGCACAACCGCGACACGCTGCGCAAGCGCCTCTCGCACAGGTATATTTATTTTTAATCGATCGACCCGTCGCGACGATTTTTCGGGGAATTATCCGCGATAGTTCCGAGGGAAGGCTGCCCACCCGTACACGAATGTCTATCGAAATATGCACGGCCCCGTTCCTAGCTGTCTATTTCTTCTCGAATGCCTCCTTCATTATATAAATAATATATATAAATGAATATTAATATCTAGTTGTGTTGCTCCCCACAAAATTCACTAGCGATAGAACTATTAAATTTAGTAAATTTTTTTTCTTTTTTTTTCAAATATTTTTATTAATAGTTCAAGTGATTATGTCGTAACATTTTATGTACATATCTAATTAAATATTGTATCTATAGTAAATAAGAAAGTAGCATAAAATACAACTGAAAATAGTTCAATTCTTGTTGAAAAAAAATCCATTTCATTTCGGGAATTTTAGTTCAACTGTTTAGAATTTTTTTAAATATTTGCAATACTAAAAATAGGGCGAATTGTGTTAAAAAAATGTGAATGTACACGTGTGTATGTTTAAAATTTGAGATATTTATCGGTTGCGAGCGATTACATCGACTCTTCAAGATACGGCGTGCACACTTGTTGTTATAACACTAGTAAAAAGGAAACCAAAAGTGTGGTCGTTTTTAAGGCTCGAAGCTGTATGTATATAATGTAATATGAGCCGTGTGCGACCCGCAGGTCGGCCGGCCGCGGAGGCCGGCGGGGCGGCGGCGGCGGCGGCGGCGGGGGGTGAGGGCGGCAGCCCGGTGCCGGCGCGCAACACGGCGCGCGTGGCGGCCAAGTTCGCCGAGCTGACGCTGACCGGCGGCTCGCTCAAGCCCGCGCTCGCCGCCAAGCCCGCGCTGCTGCGCCGCCCCACGCCGCACCCGCACCACGCGCGCGCGCCGCCCGCGCCGGCCGCGCCGACCGCGCCGACCGCGCCGCCCGCCGCGCCCGCCGCGCCCGCCGCGCCCGCCGCCGACTGCGAGCCGCCCGCCGACGCGCCCGCCTAGTCGCGGCACGGCCCGCCTCGCACGCGCCGCCGAGGGCAGTGTGTAGCTTCGAGTACAACGGTGCGATATATCATATTTTAATGCGTCACCTGACCAAGTGTTCATCGTAATTTTACTATGTCCACGTACGGGATAATAAAATACTCGTGCCGATGTTCGCTTCGAGACGTAGCTGTATACCGTTTGTCCGTGGCGACTGTCTGCACGAGTGAAAACGTTCAGGGTGCACGCTCATCACCCTCGGTGGTAGCGCGGCGTCGGAGTGTAGTTCTTGTAAGTGTCCATCGTTTTATATTGAATGTACTAGTATTGTAAGAGTGTATTATTTTTATACGGGACGAGTGTGACGCGGCGCGACGGCGTCGGACGCGTCGCGACCGAGAATATTTCGGGGTACAAAGTAAACAGAGGTGCATACTTTAAATTAGGATTGAATCGACTGCGGATGACTGTTTATTTTCATATACAACGATTTTGTAATAATGATGTAGTGCATCCTTCTATTTAATTACTACGCGTATGTGTATTGTCTACCATCACGTTGCAACGGTATAAAATTTTTTTTTAATTCGATCAGTGCCCACCCGCGGTGCCGTAGCCGTGCGGTATCGTGTACAATGCTATATAAGGCTATGGGTTACGGCGACAGCGCTCGTGCCGCCTGTGTTTGTTATTAAAGCCGCGGCTCCGGAACGAGAGAACAAAATTATAATAATCAAAATATGTACGCACTCGTTTGTTCTATCTCGTCGGCAGCCTTCCCCGTGGGTAGAGTAAAGAATCTTATTACGCTATCTGTGATATAAATATCGGTCTTATTTTTTTAAAGCTTTAAATGTCGAGTCTTCGGTGAGAAGGCTTTAATGACGAGATAACCGCTCTTAAGAGTACGAACGCACGTGTAGATGTAACGGGCTCGTGCGAGCGTGCGGCTGCTCGACCTTGTCAGTGGTGGTGACCTTATATCGGCAGGCGCAGTGCTCGGAGCCATCTCGTGCTGTTATAGTGTGTCGAATGTGCTGTACACCCGGTAACATGTACTCATTAAACCAGTATTATCAAGATGTTGTTTTTTATTTACTGTATCACACCTAACTACCTGCTGCCTCCTCCATTACTTGTAGTTTGCAAATAATAAGTAATGATGATAACATCCGGCTCGAAGGACCAGAAGAGACTCGCTTATTTCTGTACCACAGGTGGTAAACAAGCATATGGCCCGCCTAATGGTAAGTGATTTCCGTAGTTTATGTACGCCTGCAATGCCGTTGCGTTTCATACGTTGCCGACATTGAAGAAACTAACCCCCGCCCCCCCACTTTTTTTAACAATCCCATCTGTAATCTAGGAAAACCTCGACAGGGAGGTCATTTCATAACCTGACCGTTTGTGAAGGAAACATCTCTAAAACCGCGTTGTATGCGAGTATCCAGGTTCTAAGATATGATGGTGAACATCGACGGAGGGGGGGCCGTCGATGGCATAGGAAGGGATTCTTAGTAATAGGGTCTACCTGACCCATTACTAGCAATACACCCTATCAGGTCGATCTCCACGCAGTTCCCCCTGGAAACCATCGTGGCTCATTTTAGTGGAATTCTTCACGCTAGGCTAGCTGACCTGCTATCATCGTCACCTATCATCTCTCACTGGTACCCGCCAGCGTATACCGTTATCGCAAGCGGGGTTAACATTCCATTATCAACCATTTAAAAAAAACTTGGCATCGATGCCGTGAATTTAATGAACAAACAAACCTTCGAGCACAGTTCGTTGCACAAGTGGTAGAACACGCATAGTGAGGCAAAATCTTAAGGACTCGACACCACATGTAGGCCTAGGATCATCAACAATTCTCATAGCTCGTCGTTTCACCGAGTGGAAGAAATCAAACTGGTATTTTTTTAATGAATGATAATAGAATAGTAACTCCGCCTGCGCTAACAGCATTCGCTGGCGGTGCATCAGTGAAAGATGATACGTAAGGTTGAAAAGGCAAATCATTGCCCATTGTAATGAATACATCTGGAAATCAGCACGAGGGTTTCCAAGGGTGATCACATGGAGGTCGACCTGACAGGATATAATGCTAGCGATAGGACTGGCAGTCCGCATTACTAACACTCCTCTCCCCCCCCCCCCCTCAAACAAGCTGGTATTTAAGTGCTCCCGCCCATAAGTGTCAGCAATACTCCATGTGGGGCCGGATTTGCGATGTATAGAATGTTAGTCGTTGATGGATCGCTCATGAAGCACGCCGAGTTTTTTTTTTGGATGCCAGCATCACCTTAGCTTAGAGGTGGTCACGGACCTGTACGTCACTAGAGATGTCGTCACAAAAGATCCCAATGTTTTTAGAGATGTTAAGGGATGTCCCCTGGAAATATGGAGCCACAGCGCATGTTCTTTTAGCGGTGAACGCGCAAGCTTGTTTCTTAGCGTGGTTAAATTGGACTAAGTTTTACTGCCCCCGATCAGAGACCCATTCTAGTGTTCTCTCAATTTTAGATTTCACTGATGTTGCATCAGTCAATTTTTTATTCATAGATAATATATATATATTTTTAATGGGTGATAATGGATAGTGGAATGGTAACCCCACCCGCGCTATCAGTATACACCGGCGGGGCACCAGTGAAGGATGAAGTAGATCAGTTAGCCCATCGTGATGAAATCAACAAGAATTGTTCACGATAGTTTCCAGAGGGAACCACGTGGAGGTCAACCTGAGAAGGTATATTGCTAGTAATGAGGCTATTTGACCCCACTACTAATAATCCCATTCCCCCTCATAGATAATATTGGAATGGTAGCCTTGCTTACGTTAACGGGATACGCCGGCGAGGCATCAGTAAATGATGATAGGTGAGAATATAAAGGCAGGTCAGTTAGCCCATCGTGATGAATACACCTGGAATTTAGCACGATGGTTTCCAGAAAGGATCACGTGGAGGACAAGGTATATTGTTAGCAATGGGATCGGTAGTCTACATTACTAACAATTTCTTCCCTTCCCCTGCATCAGTCAATTGTAATCGTGTTGTAAATTGGTATTGTGTGGGTTACAATAATAGCCGTATGGGACCCAAGAGTCGTAACGGGCAGAGACCACCCAGAACAAGCTCACTGCTCACATGAAAGTGAAATGTGACTATGATCACCGACGCGACGGCTTCCCCTGGACACCGCCGCTGTTAATTCTTGGTGTAGTCACGGCGTAAAGCTAAGTAATTCTTCTTTCACGGACAGTGCGGGCGGAATTGGTATTTCATTATCATTTCTTTTATACAACTTAGAATGGCAAACAAGCTGACGGCCCACCTGATGGAAAGTGGTAACCGTCGCCTATAGACATGAGCAGTAACATGGACATAACAGAGTATACTGTTTCGCCTATGATATTCCCCATGTGTTGCTATTCCTGAGGACTCAAGTGTTATTCCTCTGTACCCAGAAAATTCACGCCATATTCCACCCTTCAAACCGAAATACAGCCATGCAAACACAACTGCTTCACGGTTGAAACACGAATGGGACAGAGGTACCCAAGCAATCGATTTTTGTACAAAGTCTCCCTCTGGTAAATAAAATGATCAGCAATAAAAAATGACAATTGAATTTTTTATTTTATATTTTACTGGTGATATTATTTTTTAAAGTTATCCACAACTCTGAAACTATAAAGCATACGGCCCGCCTCCTGGCAAAAGCTGTAGCTAAGGAACACCAACGACGTTCACTTACTTATTTTTTATAGGCATCACGTCAACTGAATGGGTAGGTAAATAGGGTTGTAAAATGATTATAACAACAGTTGGAACGATGACATTAAAAATATTGCGTATATTTCTAAATTCGCTCATAAAACAAGCAATCATTCTTAACAATCTCATAGTTACACTCTATATGTACACATAATTTTAATAAACATTTTAAAATAATACCTACGTAATAATTAATTAAATAATTCTCCATCGTCTTCACACAGGTCCGTCGTAACCTGAGGATGCAAGGGGTGGAGGCATCGGGTAGTAGACTTCCAAGGGACACAAATGATTTTTCCACTTATACGTCCTTTAAAAAATTCTCAAATTTTGAATGATAAATTATAGATGGAAGGATGCTATACACAGATGATACTTGTACCCCAGTGGGTTAGACGATTAAGACGGCCCTGTCTTCACAGATAAAACGAATAATTATGTTGGTCCATGTGCCATTTGAATGTGAAAGCTCAAATAGTGACGAATGGGTAGGTATCTAAGTTCATAACAAAATTGTTCGCTGCAATCACAGATATGGAATGTAGCTGCAAGGGGTATTTAGTCGTCTGTCTCTCGAGGCAGCGGCGCGCGAGCGGGAGGCCTTCAGTAACGTAGGCAGTGGTCGTGGTGCACGGCGTGGTGCAGCGGCGCCGCATTCTCCTTGTCGCGGGCGTAGTGCGTCGGCGCGGACGGCGGGCCGGCCGGCGCCGGCGCCGCCGTGAACTCGCTGCCCAGCGACGCCGGCTCGTACTCGTCGCCCGAGCCGTCCGACGCCTCCAGGTAGCCGAATAGCCGCTCGGCGCCGGCGGCGCGCTGTTCGCGGCGCCGGCTGGCCGCGCCGGCCGCGTCGGCGCCGCCCGGGCCCGGCGCCGAGCCCGCGCCCGCGCCGCCGCCCGGCGCCGCGCCGCCGCTCGCGCCCGCGCCGCCCGCCTGCTGAGACGCCGCGCTCGCGAATCCCACCGTGGTGGTGCGCCCGACGCCCGTCGGCACTTTTAGATTGCGGCTCTCGATGTGACTGTGACACAAGCGACTGACCTGTACAAGCTACATCTTTCATAGCTATTTATACGACACCACTCATAGTTATCTAATGTAAATTTAAGTCAAACGTAGCAAAAAATATTTCCCAAGCGATATTTCAAGAAATATAAAGCGATATTTGAAATCATACACGTTATTGGAGTTGTGTCGGTGTTGTCTCATACATTACCTACCCACATGAACATTGATTTTATTTTGTTTGCATTAAAATTTGGTAGATACTTTTTGAAGAGTAATATTTAACTCCTACTCTACCGTCAATTGTCATATATTCATATTTGTAAAACTTTGTATTTTCTCGTGTAAATGAATTGTATTTCTTTGAGAAAATAAACATATTAAACCATTATGCTTGACAGTGAAGCAGGTATATAATACATGTTCAAAGTAATGGTGTATCTGTGTACGTGTAGTAGTAGTGTGTAGGTATGAGCGCGGCCGGTGTGTTGCAGGCGCATGCAGGCTAGCGGAGACTCACTGCGCGTCCCGCAGGTGGTGCGCGAGCTGGTGCTGGTCGTCGGCCAGGTAGGGGCACTTGGCGCACGCCTTCTTGTTGTGCACCTTGTGCACGTGCGTGGCCAGCCGCTCGGCGCGCGCCGCCTTGTACTCGCACAGCGCGCACGCGAACGGCTTCAGGTGCGTGTTCAAGTGCCGCTTCAGGCACCAGTTGTCCACGCCCGACCACGCGCAGTAGCAGCACGCGTACCGCCTCTCGCCCTGTGCGATACGACATGCCTGGTCAACGGCCGCCTACGTTTACGATACGTGCAGTGGCGTGGACTGCGACCTGAGCCTTACCTTGCGACGCACACCGGCGGCCGTGCCGGGTGCGGCGGCGGGCGGCGCCAGGCTCGCGACCGCCTTGTGCGCGGCCGGTACCGCAGCCACCGAGCTCTCGGCCTTGGTGAGCGGCGCCCTCTCCAGCTTGACGGGGGCCGCCGTGCGGTACTCGAGCTGCGTGCCGCCCGCCACCGCCGCCGCCGCCGCCGCCGCGCCCGCCGCCACCGACGCGACGGCCGCGGGCGCCGCGGGCGGCGGCTCCGCCGGCGGCTTACTGTAGTAGTGCAGGGCGGGGGCCGCCGCTGTCTGTTGCGGTTTAGCAGGAGCGCGCCTGATTCTGTTCAGATCATACGGCTGATCTCTATGCATGCGCAGAAAGTGTTTCTTGACGTGATCTGCCCGGTTGAACTGCTTCTGGCAGAGGTAGCAGTGGAACGGCTTCTCGTCGCGGTGAATGTTCTCGTGGCGCGTGAACAAGTCGCGCCGGTCGGTGGCGTACGGGCACGAGCCGCACGCGTACCGCTTCCCGGCTTCACTAGTGACGCCGCTCGTCGCGCTGCCACCCGTTCCCGGGCCTACTTCAGTCGCCTGGGTGTTTTCGCCGCTACCGTTACCACCACCTCTTCGGTCATTACGGCCCGCTTCCACCTACACATCGGTATAACTATTATAAACACTAAACTAACAGAGAATGTAGTGAATAAAGTAAACTAGATAGTATAATGGACGTACACGGGGTGAATATTTAACGAGATGAACAGTCGGGAAGCGGTGATGGTGGGTGTGGGTGTACCTTGTTCTTAAGGCGCTGCAGGTAGCGCGTGAGGTCGTCGAGCGCGGGGTTGTCCCGCAGCAGGTGGTCGGCGGCGGCCGGGTCGGAGTGGTGGTCGCGGGCCAGGTGGTGGCGCACGCCGCGCGCCCAGCCCGATGCGAACCCGCAGCCGCCCACCGGGCACTGGAACGCGCGCGCCTGCAACCCACGTCGCCCACACGGACGCTGTACTCACGTCTGTCGTAAGCACGCGTGGTCACGTGGCCTGGTGGTGTGGTCGCCGGGCATACCTGCGAGTGTGTACCGAGCCAGTGTTCGGCGACGCGCGCGAGGAAACCCACGCACTCGCAGTCGGCGCACTTGAACAGCCGCTGGGCGGGGTTGTAGGCGGCGATGCGCGAGTGTGCCCACGCGAGGGGCTCCTCTGCCGCCGTCCAGCGGTCCTCGGCGCTCGTGTCGATACGTGGTGTGAAGTTAGCCTGGGATTACATTAACCAAATGTAATAAATATATAGTTACGCGTATATATATAATTATGCGTGACGGTTGACGGTTTTGTAGACGCGAATTGACCGACCTTCCGCATACACATGCCAGCTACTTACTTTGTTTTAGAAGCTCCGAAACATTTCCAAAATGTCTATTATTTCTGTGACAATATGCTTATACATGTCTCTAATCAAAATTTACGAAATACCAAAATGAAATACAAGTCCTTGTTCTTAGAATAGAAGCAATGCCACAGATAAATATGCCATATACCATATTAAGGTACCTGTAGTATGCCAGGAGGTGGGAAGCCTTTTTGCATGAGCGCGGCCAGCCCCCAGGCGGTGATGTGCTCTTCGGGGCGCAGCTCGTCCTCCAGGTCGCGCTCGGCGGCCGGGAACTCCACACCCACGACGCCGCTCACTCCCACGCCTACGCCCACACCCACGGTCGCTTCCTCGCCATATAGTTTCTTTGTGATCTCCTTGAACATGTCCTCGCAGTCCATGGTGAGGGACGCCACGCTGCCCACGCCTGCGCCACCCTCCATTTCGTTGTTTTTTTAACCGCCAATCACTGATCTATAAAAAGAAAATAAAAATTCAATCGGTGTGCGTGTCTCTTCACGTATTTTGCAGTTGGTGTAATCGACACATTCGAGGGTCCATACGATGTAATGTGTCACACCTTTTTAGTCCCAGAATAAGAAACACTTTAGAGAATAGAATAATGATTGAAAACTCGGAAATAAACGCTATACCAAGCCGCCTGGGCAGCGTGGCTATGGGAACTTCCCTGTGCTATTGGGAGAGACCCGTGATTAAATGAAAAAGACGTGGTTGAATAAAATGCACACAGCATGCAACCGTCCAGGGATAACGTTTTTTACACTTTTTATTAAGCTAAAATGATTCATTTCTTTTGGAAAATACAATTTGAAATATACTTAAGTTATTCAAAATTGTTCAAGAAACATTCAATGTATAGGAATAGCTCTCTATATATACTCGTAGTATTATACCTATAGGTATAATTGAACTCTTCAGTGTAATTTAGATTGTACTTAATTAAGGCTAATAGAAAAAAAAATAGAGCTGTATGTATGTAGATGTAGACAAGGGCTAGGGAAAGATAAGGAAAGAATTTATAAGATTTCTCAAAAGAATTAAACAAAAACCAGGTGCAGACAAGTAATAACTATTTTTTTAATTAGTTTTAGTTGTACATTGTACAGTTGCAGCATGCTACGAGTACATTTTGATATGTCAAATAATGTTTCTGTGCACGCATCGGTGTATTCGTACACCTGCGCCGTAAATGCATTTGGGTGCAACGTATGTAGATAGTTATTTATATGGCAGATGCATTTTGTGTATGGCATATCAAAATGCAGTATTGCGTTGCCTGAAAACAGGTGGCAGTGAGCTTGTCGTATTGCCATTCCCTTCGCAGCGGCCACCAGGCAGCCTCCCTACACCGCTACGTGAACCAACACTACCAACAACCAACTTTTCAGTTGTATGTGGACGGCTGAATTTTAAACTACATATTTTTTTTATAATTAATAAACTATTTATTAAAGAACTTTAAGTTATTATAGAGATTATTGACTATAATTACAATATCAATAAATACATATCAATACTTAAATTATCAGTACTAATAATAATACAGAAAATACGTACCTACTGTAAGCAAATTATAAAGATCGTATAATATTGCCTTAAACTCATTAATTATTTTTATAAAGTAAAAAAGTCTCCTCTCTCCTAGTCGCTGCGCACGACAGGGTCCATAATTAGACTTAATTCAATATTTATTAACTATATTATGCAATGAAATAAATTTGCTTATATCGTCTTAGACAGTATTTTTGAGTATAGTAAAGAAAAGAAAAATATAATAATTTGAAATGGTCTCGGGGCTAATTTCATAAAAAATTTATGTCTATTTAGAAATGTATAGATTTTTGAAAATTTTAATCGAATATGTTAATATTAAAAAAAAAAAAAACCACATACACAAACTGCAATTATGACACCAATCTATAATGTCAATTAGACAAAGAAAATTCTGTAATGTATTTTTTATCAGAACACGATGTTCTGAATTGGCCTGCAATCTTTTAAGTTCCTCGATATCTTCGCCAATTCTGGACCGATCTTGATAATTATTTTAGCAATCAATAGATAATTCCATGTTGATCCCATACTGATTTTGTCATTTAAATACAATTGGAATTTAGATAGGACAATTAACGTCGGTCGGCGTCAGGTCAGCTAGTACGACATGCCAGTACTTATCTCTACTCGTACTCTATTTTATTTAATGTCCCCGATTGTTGCGATCCGAGCACACTTAAAAAATAAGCCTGCACCTATATGTACGTACTCGTACTTTGTTCAATTGTCAATCATTATCACAGAATGTACTGCTGCTCAATACGACCGATTTTAAAAACTAAATTATTTACGACGGATGGGTGGGTTTTTTAATATGTGTTTCGATTTATTCGTTAATTTGGCGCATCGATGTGATATAGCGGTGGTTATATGGGCACCGGTGCGACGGCGAGCGAGGCGGTGGGCGCGGGGCTGCGGCGCGTGTGGAGTGGAGGTGCAGCACGCACGCAGCCACCCCGGCCCTCGTCAATGGCGGGTAGGCAGCGCTCGGCCGGCGGCGCCGCGCCGCCTGCACGGCCACGGCCCTCCGCCGACCTCGTCCACGCGCACCACTGTTCCAGCTCAGCGGTTTTGTAAATTCAACGCAATTCGCTTGAAAAAGGTGCGACATTTTCTCTAGCGGCGGGATGACACTGGACTCGGACTGTGCCTATGGTCGCTGCCGTGCCTGGAGTGCCTGGAGACACGGCCGATATCGATATCGGGGTGGTGGTCGCGAGGACGCTACGTACCTATGCGTATATGCGTCCGAGGAACTATTGCTAGTCGAACTACTAAACGGTGTTGCGTTGCGAGAGCCGCGGGTCGCAGGGCGGCGATCGATCGCGTGGGCGGTGGGGGCGCGGGTGCGCGGGGGCGGCGGGCGGCGGTCGGCGGTCGATAGCGCGCGACGCGGCCGCTGGCGCTCGGCTCCGCAGTCAGCACCGGGCGGCGCGCCGGCCGCGACTGACGCCACCCGCCCTGCCCCTGCCGGCGCCCGCCCATCGATCGCCCGCCGCCCGCCGCCCGCCGCCCGCCGCCCCCTGCGCCACCCGCCGCCCGTCTTCATCTCACCCATTCACTATAACGAACGTATTGAGCGATGCGTGACTACGCAATGGAACCTTCGACTCGTCGCTCCCTTACATGTTCGGATACTCAATGTACGAGCCGGCCGTGCCACCGTCACCGTCACCGCCACCGAGCCGAGCGCCACCTCCCGCGGAAGTCGGCGCCGCTGGACGCGGTGCGCGCGCCTCCTTCTCATTTCATGTTCTCTTTGTTTAACGTTATGACTAATTGGAGAACAGTTATTTTTTTATCCTTACCTTAAAATTATTTGCCGCTAGGTATTTATTGCAACAGGTACTGCATGAAATCTTTAATTTCACTGATACTGTGAGGGCATTAAACGTAACAAACACTCATTATTTCGGTAACTATACTGATAATCATTATTTTACTATGAAGGTATTTTACTGTGGTTATGATTCCAGTAATAGTAAGAAACATACACACTGTATAGTATAGTATACAAAAATAACCATTTTAACATTTATAACATTATCTACGTCGTACCAGTCATCCGGATCGTAACTCTACGGCGTGAACACCCTGTTGCTTCTTCATTTTCTGTCACTGTCGTAAATCAGATTCACACGGCCTTCTTGATGGCCTGTGTGCGTGTGCGTGTGCGTGTACGCGTACGTGTGCGTGTACGTGTACTGTGCGTGTGCTTGTGTTCGACTAGCCCATCAGCCAGTAACCCATCACAATGATATTAGAGCTCTGCAGTCCAGAGTAATGAGGGTATTTGTGTATCAAGTTTAACTGAAACTTTTTATTTTAACAGGACTAATAAATTACGGAATATGCTTGCACGAAACGCATAAAAAAATCATTTTTTCATATATTTAAGTAACGAATTAATCAAGATGCATTTACCTATAAAATAAAACCTTATTTATTGTCGTATGATAATTAGTTCACAGTTAAGATCAAATCAATAAAATATATCTTAAAGATAATTCAAACACAACAATAAAGGTTTAGGTTATAAATAAATGTCTAATTTTACAAAACACTTAAACTAAACAAATTAATGTTTACAGAAGAGGATTCGATTTGAAGGTTGAATTTCATCTTGGCAGTGAAATTATGAGCTATTCCTCTTGATCCGCAGGTACGTTTCCCCAGGAACTGGTGGAAGAGTAGATTTACTTTCATCTATATCAACCATTGACCCACCAGTGGGAATAAATGAAATAAAGGTGCCACTTTTATCTACAGATAAATTGTATTGTACATAATTAAAAACCTTATTAAAAAAGTAATTTTTTTTTTTATCAATTCCTCGTATTCGCCCAATGTTGCTGTCGAATGACTAGCCCGTAGTCATTGGTCGATACTACTCATATTGTAAACGTGGAGGTTTGTATATCCTACGTTGACGTAAAGCCGCGGCACACAGCTAGTATTATCTAATGCTTGGTAAACATGGCATGACCTTTGCCATCATTCGCGCTAGTGAACAAGTAGTAAAATTTTCACTTGACGGACGGACGGACAGCAGTCCATCAGACTGTCTGTCACAAGACTCTAACTTCTTAGTAAAATAATTTAAAATACAAGCTATGTAGATTTTGAGATAAACACACAGTCTAGGACGTAAATAACACCGGTCAAGTGTACATTGAACGTACAAGCCGAGGGTTCCGTACAGAAAATAATCTCTAACTACCTTTTAATTTTCTTTACACAAAAATGTATTTGATTATGAACTCGCGTTGCTTTCTTTCTTTTAGATATTAAAAAAAATTCCATATAGCAAAACGAAACAAGATTGAATAATTTAAATTTATTATTCATTCCTATATGTATACCATATCAGCCGTTAATTGTCCACTGCTAAACACAAGCCGCCCCCTTGGGGGGGATTTATCCAGTAGATGTCACGCTTAGCAGGCGGGTTGGCAACCGTAGTAAGACTGGAGATATTGTAAGAGGGACGCTGCTGCCTATCGTCGACCATTATTTTCCTTAGTCGCCTCCTACGACAGCCACGGGATAGGAAGGGGTGGCTTATTCTATGCCGGGACCACGCGGCCTCTTACATGGACACAATAATGGAATTAGGAATTATTTATTTTGTAAAAACCAGACCGTATGGCTAACATTGTTTTATTTTCCTGTAATATCTGTATTATGGATTTTGACAGTTTTGATGTGGTGACAACTTGTGTGGTGCCTCTAGGTCAGTATTTATTTTTTAACACTTAATTACACCAATACTGAAGAATAAAGTACATAAAGGGAGCAAAATGAAAACAGTAGAAAATACAATACAATAGGCGATTTTAACGCTAATGTAATCTCCTCCAGACGACCGTTAACCTCACTATGTAGAATGATTTTAATTGTAGTAAATTATCTCATTTCCATGGAAAACGTATATGCGGCAAACAAGCTGACGGCCCACCTGATGGAAAGTGGTAACCGTCGCCTAGAGACACGAGCAGTACCATGGACATAACAGAGTATACTGTTTCGCCCATGATACCTCTCATGCGTTGCCATTCCTGAGGACTCAGGTGTTATTCTTCTGTACCCTGTCAATTCCCATGTTAGCCATGAACAGCAATTTGAACATTACATGACATCCACGACACGCCTCATACGTTGCAATTCCTAAGCACTGATGTTGAGCTCTTATACCCTGTAAATCAGTTCAGTGAATTCATACAGCTATATTTCACGCTTCAAATCAGAGGACAACCACACACATACACACACAACTTGCAGGACGCAAGAATGAGGAGTGGACCATGAGTAGTTGGAGTTGGCCAAGCAGACGAGTTTTATGTAGTTTCCCTCTGGTAAATTTAAGGTTTAAATGCTCTAATAATAACCCGTTAAGTTCGTAAAAGAGTACCTATGCTGTCACACTGAACTGAATACATCGATAGTTAACTGAGAAGTTTATTAATTATTGGCATTTCAACAGGAGCCGTGAGAAAGTCGACGTAAGAAAATATAGAAACGAGGCTGTTTGATATTATTTAATAACAACAGATTCCTCCCTTACCTTACATTCCCAATGCGAAGAGTAAAGTAAGTATATATTTACTTTAAATTATGTTGAATTTTGAACCTACACTAGATTGAAGATGAAGATACAGACATTAGGATGCAGAAAGATGCTTACCAGAGGGAGACTTTGTACAAAAGTCGTTTGCTTGGGTATTTTTCAATGCTAAATCATATTTAAATAAAAATAAAAAATTTTGTCAAAAAAATAAAAAAATATTTTTTAGAGGTGGGTCACCATTATCATTGAGGGGTATAAAAAAATTGATGTTGGCCGATTCTCAGACCTACCTGCATACAAAATTTCTTAAAAATCTGTAAAGCCGTTTCGGAGGAGTTTGGTAACAAACACCGTGACACGAGAATTTTATATATTAGATAAACGTCTTTTATTTTTTTAATAACTTAGACTTTCTTTTATTTAGATAATAAACAAATGTTTTGTAGTGCACGCTTTTGTAGTGACTTTCAATCAAGTATCGAACACCTGTCTACAGCAAGTTTAACTCTTTATTAGTAAGACGAATAAGGTCTTTTGTAATGGGTGATAACGAAATAGTAACCCCGCTGTGGTAGGGCTATTGGCATACGCTGGCGGGGCACCAGTCAGCGATGATACCTAAAAAAGGTCAGTTAGCCCAACGTGACGAATTTTACAAAAATTCGTATGTAGCTCGATCTGATAGGGTATATGTCTAGCACTAGGGCTATAAGAGCCCACTACTGATGATCCCTTTCCCGCCGACGTAGTCGGGTGTTTTGTAGTATGGCCTGTTCACTGTATTGTCCCGATTATAGATACTCGTCAATAATAATTCATCTGAAGTCCAGCTGCTCGCGGTGCAAGGTGCACTGCACTGGTTTTTTTTTTTTTAATATTATTTTTATTATTATTTCAGTTCTTACTGTCCGCTGCTGAATATAAGCTCCATAAGGGGAAGATTTTTTTTTAATAGGTGAAGATGAAATGGTACTCGTAACCTCGCCTGCACTATCGGTATACTCTGGCGGGGCAAGTAGACTGAGTTGTTGAGATCCGTATATGTAGAGTCAGACATCAGTACTTAGGATTGAAATCATTTTAATAAAAATTGGCGTAGGTGGCCTGGTCACGTTCAGCTGAAATGTGCCGTATGAATGACTGCTGGCTTCTTAAAAATGTATTCAATACGGAATTCTCGAAGGAAAAACGTAATTCCGGGGGTAGCATCTTTAATATCGAGACGTACTTAAACGTCATTTGCTCTCTAATAGCATATCGGCGAACTTTGAGAAGAACCTGCTATGCATTGACCACAATGGCGTCATAAGATCGCAAAGGACATTTATGAGTTTGAGGAGACCCGTCTAAAAGATCTTGATTGCTTGATATCCAAGCGCCAAATACAAAAGTCTAAACCCACTGTTACTGTTATTATTATATCGATAATTGAAAGTTAATATTCGTTGAAGCGTATCTTGTACTTCTGTCAGGTAAGAGTCGATGAGACCACGAAGACAATGCTCGGCCGCGGCTCGAAGAGCGCTCAGTGGGGCGGGTGCGGTCGGTGCGGTGCGGTGCGGTGCGGTGCGACGGCGGCGGCGGCGGCGGCGGCGGCGGCGGACGTGTGCAGCGCGCAGGCGCGAGGCCGTGCGGCTGCGCGACGGCGGCGGCGGCGGAGGCGGCGGCGGCGGCGGCGGGCGGAGAGCGGGTCGGCGGTTCGGTCGATGCTCAGTCGCGCCCCGACCGCGGCCCGTCCCCGTGCAGCCCTCGCCGCCGCCGCCGCCGCCGCGCCTGCAGCCGCCGCCGGCCGCGCGCTCGCCGCATGCCGCGCCCGCGCCCGCGCCGCCGCTAGCGCCGGCGTGGCCGGCGAGCCGCCCGCCGCCGCTCCGCCCGTCCGCCCGTCGCCGGCAGGTGAGCTGCGCCGCCGCCGCCCTGGTCGTGCTGCGGCATCGATCGGCCGCCCGCCGCCCGCCGCCCGCCGCGCGCATGTGTCGCGCCTCGCGCACACGTGCTGCGCGCGCTCTGTCGATCGTGTCGAGCCCTTCTTCTGCCTCCCCCAGCACTAGTGTGTGCTCTGGTCATATCGACCAGGTTTGTGTTTGAGCTTCGCTGATGAAGAACTGAAAATCTGAAAATTTTTTCTATACGAAAAAAGTTATAGTATTGGAGACGGCCCGTGAATGTATTCTTTTGAATGGACAGCAGTCAAGTGCAGCCAAGTTGGCAAATATTCTGCCTAAATAGTTATGAGTGACTCTGTGTACTGATGTTCACTATGCTTTATAAACAAAACAGTGATGCTAATGTTAGTAATTCGACCTGATAGGACATTGTGGTACCGATGAAACCCAGCAGCATGATAACGGTACAGTCGTCTCAGTTATAGAATGTACATCATGATTATTTCGTAATACCTGGAGTATCTAGTTTTTGTAACGAGGGCTGAAAGTGTTGTTCAGCCCTTGTTCAGCTGCTCAGAAAGATAATTTCGCATCGAACAATATAAACAACTAGTACTCAATGCAAAACGCATCACTGGGCAGGTCGCTACTATTTATCTCGAGATGCAGAAGGAGGGCAGGGCAGTGTGGACACGAGGAGCGCGCCGAATCCATAACGTGAATAGAGCGCGCGTTGCGTTGCCGTGTTGTTTACAATCGAGAGGCGGCTGCAGCTGCGGCGGCGCCGCACCGATATAGCGTCGGCCAGCGGCCGGCCGCGCGCAGTAAACACCGTGCGGCCGCCGCCAGCGGCCCACGGCTCGCGGCCAGGCGTCTCAATGAGAGCGCCCGGACTATAAATACATGCGGCGCTCCGCTTTCCGCTGTCCGCTCTCCTCCCGCGGCCGCTCGCTGCGACCCTCACCTACTACCCTCCAAACAAACTCTTGTTTATTTTCGCGTTACTTCACGTCTCGCATGTGCCATTTCCGCGCCGCTACGCGTACGCGTGCACCGCCTCACATCACTGTTTCACTGTAACGCAGCGTTGAAGTAGGCCGACGAACCACCCACTGTGTTGTGTATGCACATGTACTGTATTTAAAAGTAGATTGTATCACAAATACCAATGAATTAAAGAATATAGGCACTTTTTATCAGTCAGTACGCATCTCTGCCCATATGCAAGAGCATTCCAATCTTGTCTTCCCGCTGGTACCGCTAGAGACGTATAATTCTGTAATGAACTCGAGGATAAGGTTATATTGGCATCCAAACACTTGGTGTGGTAGATGGGTACGATGGAGTAATACTCAGAGTAATACTATTGGTGTACGGGTTGCAAATCCAGCTTTATATGCAGCTGTTGGAGCACCTGAACACTCGGGCCAATAACATGTTATGGACATTGGCAATAAATTGGGGAGGAGTTGAGAGAAAACTACGGCACAGTTATCAAATTGAATGTTTTCTTTAATAGAACATTCAGTGTACTTGCACCTGTTCATCCGTTTGAAAGCTATGACGCCACAGACAGATTAAGATATATATGGCCAAAGGTTTCCAACTTATAGACCACACATTTTGTATGTTATCTCTCTCATCACATTCTGGTCATCCGCTTTGCACGTCTAATTTTTATATAATTATTGATTACCTTTGTTTTACCAACTATAATTATCAAGAGATTACAATTAGCTGCGTTTATCGCATAATTTTCAGTTTTCTTTTGTGCTCTGTTTTGTTCCTCGTAAGAGTTTAGTGGTGGCCATGTACCAGCGTATTGTTATCGCGACCTACCAACCATCTGTTGTGCATTCTCGGGAATCTTGTTATCTGCTGGTCTCTCAACACCATCAGATCAATGTTATTATTATTTTTAATGGATTATAATGGAATGTTTACTCCGCCTGTGCTAACAATATACGCTAGCGGGCCATCAGTGAGGGATGATAGATGAAAAGGCAGGTCAGTTAGTTCATCGCGATGGGAATTAGAACACGATGGTTTCCAGGGGGAACTGCGAGGAGGTTGACATGTCAAGGTGTGCTAGCAATGGGGCTACTAATCCCCATTATTATCAATCCTACTATGTTATTGCTTAGATTACAGCAATGTTATTATTATCTCAGTAGTGAATATTTTTTTTTTTAATGTCTAATAATAATGGGATTTAACATTATATTTACTGTTTCTGCATAAATATAACATTTGTATTCGTGTATTGTACACACACTGTACCTAGTACAGTGTTCTACAATGCAATACTGAAATAATAAAATTTCTGTATATAAAAATCTCATGTCACGGTGTTTATGGTTGCAATCCTCTGAAATGTATAATTTTATTTTATGTATATTTGGTAGGTAGAGAATAGGTCGTAAAGTATATTTTATACTGCTAGGTGAACAGGGTGGCCCTATCCCTAAGTAAAGTCAGGGCTACTTGTTGTATATTTTTTAATAAACATGTATTTATTTATTTATTTTTCAATATACATTACAATATATACAATATATTTCAATATACATATTCGTACCTATGTGCGTCGTGTCCCAGAGTCAGTAATAACGTGCTCTGTTTTGTTTGAGAGTAATAGCTGGCATTGTATGACGCGTAAATATATATTATAAAATTTTCTTTCAATTTCATTTAGTAGTTATTATTTAAGAGACTAACAAACACCCATTAGTTATCATAAAATTTCGTATTTGTAATAATATTAACTTTTGCCCGCGACGTGTCTACTGACCAGCATATATAGTAGCCTATAACCTCTATCCTGTACAGTATGTGGATACAAAATTGCTTAGAGATTGCTTAAGCTGTTAAGGTGCTATAAAGTAACAAACAAACAAACTCACTTTCACAATTATAATATGTATTAATATTTCGTTCCAGTACCTAGCTACACTCGAATACCTAACCAAATGTCTTCAATCTCGGCTAGTTCTGTAGTGCTGGCTGTTCGGTGTACCCCCAGTATTGTAATTTACGATAAATATTATATAACGAAACGTACAATTCCTATTTTCAATCGACTTTAAAAAGAAGCAGGTTCTCAATTCGACTGTTTGTTAGGATTTTTTTTTGAAAGGATATTAATACAGATTAGTTTCATAGAAATTCGGTTAAAAAAGAAAAGTTGGTCGGAAAATAACTGGTTTAGTCACATTTGAATTCGGATTTTTTTTTTTTTTGTGGGACACAATTTTTAATGTTTCGATAGGTAAAAATATATTTGTGTTTGGGCCCTTTATATAGTCGCCTCCAGAATAGGAACATTGTACGATCGTTTATTGTTTTTTTTTTTTTTTTTTTTTTCTAATGAATGGGATGTAAATCACTGAACGTGAAGAAGTAGGCAATATGCTTCGTGGAACGCTTACAGTCTGTTAGTATTATTGACTATTTATTTAATTATTCACAATTGTAGGCATGTGTTTAAGAATGTGTTCCTGTGCAATGGTTGCGTGCGGCAGGCGACTGGAGCGACTGGAGCGACTGGAGCGACTGGAGCGACTGGGGCGACTGGGGCGACTGGGGCGACTGGGGCGACTGGGGCGACTGGGGCGACTGGGGCGACTGGGGCGACTGGGGCGACTGGGGCGACTGGGGCGACTGGGGCGACTGGGGCGACTGGGGCGACTGGGGCGGCCGGGCTGCGCGAGGCGCGCGACCTATTTCAACCGTGTGTGGGACAATGTGTGCCAGTGTATCACGGGAGAGAGATCTTATTAAAATAACAGACTCTCCTCAAGGGGATATTGTTCGTGGCCATGTTTCACTCAATATTTCATTTCTGTTGCGGGCCTTTCACCTAATTCTTTGAGCTGAACAGAAGCCCAATGTAGAAACAATTTAGATTTTTTTATGCAGCTTAGAATGCCAAACAAGCTGTCGGCTTACCTGATGTAAAGCGAAACTATCGCTTGTTTATATAGGTGACGGTACCATGGATATGACAGAGTATACTGTGTCGTCCAGATGTATAAAAATATTAATTTGAGAACTTTGGAAATCAGTGTTTTCCTATTATAATACAACTAGGGCATTATTTATTCGCAGCTCGTTACCACTACATCAATTGAGTTTGTTTGTTATTCATTATTTTCTATTCATCATTTTTAGAGGTAATTTTTTTTTTTTTTATATATAATAAAACAAGCATTGATTAGCATGTAATTTAATGGTAATAGTAAAATAGGATGGAAAGACTACATTATTATGTAGTTATACTACTATAATCGAATAAAGCCGTGGCTAGGTACATACGCAGGCGGCGCGGTGAGCGGTGAGCGGTGAGCGAGGGGCGGGGTGGTGGAGGCGGGTGACACTCGTGTCATGTGTTGCACTGTCGTGTTGCAGATGTGCAGCCTGTCAGCGCTGGCGCGCGGCTGCCGGCCCGCGCCCGCTCCCGCCGCCAAGCCGTGCTGCCTGTGCTGGTGCTGCTGCTGCTCCTGCTCCTGGTCAGTACACAGCCGGCCGCACGCCCCGGCCGCTCGTCACTTGCCTCACATTGTCGCGTATAGACCACAACTCGCGGTTGTCTCACTACTTAAAGCGGAACACAGAGCTGCAAGCGTTGCGGGCTACTTTGTTTAATGACGCAGCCACCAGTAGACTCGCGGACATGGTCAATGTAACACTTCACTTATCCTCGTTGCTCCCACACCATTTGAATCCAATATATTTGACTATAATGGCCAGCATAATTTTCTAATACAGCGACATTGCCTGCTATAATTGAAAAGTCAGAAATTCAAAACGGCATTCAAAGTAATGTCCTTTTAACTATAGAGTTTTAATTTGATGAACATTGTCTTATGGGTTTTATGGACAATGATAGGTTGAGGATCATGTTGAGGCTCCTATCTTTGCTCTCTCTCAAGCACATACATACATACATACAGGCAGATACACACATATAAAAGATAGTTATTACGAGACAGTGAGTGCAACACCATAGTCTGTCGCCTTTCATTCGTCCGTTTTGTCCATTAGGATTATCCGCTAACTACGTTACTACGTTATAGCTTATTTGAACGCAGGGCTAAATGGTAAGTTGCGTGGTCCCCGCGGCCCCGGGCTCCCTGGCGGCCGGCGCCGCGCCGCCCGCCGCACCGCCGCAGCACGAGCGGCCCCCGCTCCGCGTCGCTACCTCGCCACACTACTGCATTCACGGATCAGTATCATATTTTTTTTTCTAATTAAACTGCATCTTTTCGTGATTTATCATTTCATATAGTAATTTTATTTTTATTTAGTGCTAATATTTTGAACAAAATATAGCAGTAGGTAGTAGGTCATCTTCTTGAATGCTTTTCTCGAGATCTTAGTTGTTAAAAATGCAAATTAATCGCCTAGTTACTGGCTACTAGAGCCGTAGCGTATTAGACAATTGTACGGTTTGCCAAACTCCTCCAAACCCTTCGATTTACACTGCAATACCATTAATCATTTACGACAAAACTTTATAATCTGTCTCTGTGGATAGGTCCGCCGTATGACAAATATAAAAGCTCAACCTATTGGATGTTCTAAACCTTTCACAACACACCACTTTATATCTACCGATGTGCTATGTATTTTTGTTATTTTAACCTTTACCGTTACTTACCAGTCCACAGTAGAGACTCCTACAGTCTCGTTCTGAAGAAAATCCACCATTATCTTTAAATATAAGAATGATAAGTAATGTCGGTCGCGTTTAGACAATAGGAGCACTGGAATGGAGAGCGATGCAGTGATAATAATAGCAGGTGTGTGTGGTTGCAGCCTGGCGGCGCGCGGCTCGGAGGGCGGGCCGGGCAAGAAGCCGCGCGAGCCCGGCCCGCACGACCCGCTGCTGCCCGACGGAGATGCGCCGTTAGTACACTACTCACCGCTTCGCCATTAACACTAACACGGCACAGCCATTCGTATACTAAGATATTCTCTTATACGACATTTAATTTTCACAGTTTAAAAGTATTCAAAATTCTAAATCGATAGCATACAGGTGGCTGGTTGTAGGATGGAATATGACAGTGACATTACAGGGTATAGAGGTATAATGCCTCCCTCAGTCTTCATGTACGGTAACTCACGAGGACACATGTGCGTCGTCCAACTGGGGAATTAATTTTTTTTTTTTTTTTTTTTTTAAAAATATTCTAGCCAATTTGTATTCTATTGCTTGTCTCGAGCCTCACCAGCTATTTTATGATTTATTAAGTAGTCCTCCGTAGAGGCGGCAGGGCCCGCTAAATTATAATGTTCACAAGTTGGTGTATTCCAGGCCGAGTCTAGAGGAAATCCAGAGCTGGGGGCAGTCGTTCGACAGGCTCATGCGGAGTGCAGGTCGGTCACACACAATATAATTTTCTGTAGTGCAGAGTGGCTACCGTGGAACATTCAGTTTGAATTCGTATTCTAAGCAAAACACGACCGAAATAAGTAATGTAAAGCGACCATGAAGTTGCTCCGTATTTATTTATTTCGGTTGGCGACCATAGACTATGTTCGGGAACGAAAAAAGATGATAAATCTTTTATCTTTATAAAAGATTATTTAAAATCTTAGATTATTAGTACGCAATTACGTTATACTAAATTTATAATAAAAATGTACAGGCGTTTTTTATTTCTTTTTTTTTTTTTTTTTTTTTTTTTTTTTTTTTTTTTTTTTTTTTTAAATGTAAAAATTATGAATTTTGATATTAGTTATATAATAAAGCGACCGTGACTAAGACGAAAGATTCGAAGGTGCTGTATAGTTCTTAATGTACAATATTTCCGTAGAGAGATAACTTCTAAATAAATTTATCATGAAGGCGGAAGATAGAGAAATAAACACAAAAGAATGGATGAAATGACATTTATTTACAAAAATATTGTATGTTTGCATGGTCGCAAAAAATAAGCATTATTATTTTTATTAAGTACGAATCACAAATATATGTGAATATATTTTGGAAGTAATTACTTTATAATAACTAACTACTGCTATGTTTTCCATTAAACAAAAATGGGCGAAAATTGTAATTATATTTACAATTATAATATATATTTCATATTTCGATAAATAATATAAATATTTGCATAATCCTCATTACATTAACAATAATTAAACATTTATTTATTTTTTATTTACTAATTAGTATCACTTTTAACGTTTTAATTTTAACTTTTAACTCGTATAATTTGAGGTTTTTTTTTTTTTTTTTTTTTTTTTTTTTTTTTTATGTAGAATAATGGAATGGTAACGCCCCCCCCCCCCCCCCCCCCCGTCTGGCGGGACTCTAATGAAGGATGATAGGTGAAAATGAAAATGTAGGTCAGTTAGCCCATCGTGATGAATCGTGTCCGCGGTCCTAGTGGGGAGATCAAGCTGACAGGTTATATTTCTAGCAATGGAATTGGTAGTCCATATTACTGACAATCTTTTCCCCCCTATGCCAGTTGGTAGTGGGTACTGACGTAGTTGTCGTTCCGGCAGCTGGCCGCAAGGTGTTCCGTGACTTCCTGCGCGGCGAGTACTCCGAGGAGAATATAATGTTCTGGCTGGCGTGCGAGGAGCTCAAGCGCGAGACCGACCCTGACGCCGTCGAGGAGAAGGCGCGCTTCATCTACGAGGACTACATCTCCATTCTGTCGCCTAAAGAGGTACACTGCTACCTGTATTTATACTTCATATTTACAAATCTTATGAACCTATTGCAATCGAGCTCACCAAAATAATTCTTATATTTTATATATATATTTTGTCAGAACAGTAGTTTATAACCGTCTTCAGGGTCGTATCTATCTCTATACTATAATTCATCATAATCTATTCAGAAATTTAGGTCTTTAGTAAACAAATTCACTTTGGCATTTATAACGAATGTTAGGATAAATTGAAGGAAGTTGTAGCACAACCATATTTATTTATTGTGAGAAATAGACGAGTATGCCCTTATACCTACGCTTGTTACAGGGCAAGCTGAATCACTCACTAGTTTCCTTTATTATATATACATTTATTAACAGAATAGGTAAGCAAGCAGAGTGGTAACGGTGTTGTAACATTGGTGGGCAGGTGTCGCTGGACTCGCGCGTGCGCGAGGTGGTAAACCGCAACATGGTGGAGCCGACGCCGCACACGTTCGACGAGGCGCAGCTGCAGATCTACACGCTGATGCACCGCGACTCCTACCCGCGGTTCGTCAACTCGCCGCTCTACAAGACGCTCGCGCGCCTGTCCAGCGCCGAGCCCGCGTCGCCGGCGGCCGCCGCGTCGTCCGCGCCGTCCGCGCCCGCCGCGTCCTCCGCGCCCTCCGCGCCGTCCGCGCCGCCGCAGTGACGCTGGCTGCGCTCGCGAAGGCCACCTCGTACTTAGCGCGAGTCGCGAGCCGCGAGTTCCGACTTAGACGATTCTAACCCCAGAGGTCCGTCGGTTCCCCTCGACGGACACTCCCACAGAGCGTCCTCGCAGAGAGTATTTTCTATTCTGTATATAGTCTCTACATACTTTAACTAAACGGGTACTAATTTTGTATATAGTTAGGTTAAGTAAGAGTAGGTGCGCGCGCGGTCAGCCGCCGCGGCAACTTCGCTGGTCCACCGGCTGCGTCCGCCTCCGCGCGCTATGTCCCCCGAGTGGCCGAGCGCGGCCCGTCCGGACGCCGCCAGCGCCCGGCCGCGGTTCCGGCGCGGCGAGGACGCGGCGGCACTCACCCGGGGCCACTCGCATGCCGTCGAGCCCGTGCTGTGCCAGTGGCTCGCGTCGCCCCCGCCACCCTCCCCCGTCGCCGCCGCCGCCCACACCCTGTCCCCGTTTCCTTCTTAATGCACTTTCTAGTTAGAAGCAATAAAAGGTGGACCAATTAAGTTTGCCGGAGAGTCAACGAATAAATCTGTTCATGTAAAGTTGTTTCGTTTTATTTATTAACCGTGAGCGCAAGTCCTCGCCGCTGCAATGCAAGGTGATTTACAACGTGCCCCAACAGAACTTTACGAAAATGTAAACGGGAAAAACTTCGTATGCTTAGATTGTCATACTGAATTATCATTAATTAATATACATATATTTCTTATATTCTTTAAATCTTGGTTACATTTCATTAAGTTCTGTTGAAATAAATGAATATAAGATTATTAACAATTTATTAAAGGGTTTTCAAAATAAACTAGAAATTGTTTCTCTGTAAACAAATAAAGTTTTTTTTTTTTTATAAATTAAAAAAAAAAACTTTATTTATTAATAAATAAATTTATTTTATTATTAATAAAATAAATTTATTAATATATTAAAACTTTATTATAACATAACACTAATCATATTAAAACAATGAATTACAGTTATATCTTACCTGTAAACAAAGAAACGACATTTAAAGTTTATTCTATAGCACTTCTTTAATTATAATAAATAAACTTAAGAAATATCATTTATATATATACTAGCTGACCCCGCAAACGTTGTTTTGCCATATACATTATGGTCATGCCTTGTCCAAAATACAAATGACCACTTAATAGCAACATAAAAATAACAAATTCACTATGAGAATAAAATTAACATGAGAGTTGCACTGAAAAGTTAAAGTGATATAATGACGTATAACAATCACCGCTACGATCTAGACAAGTTAAAAACAAAAAAAAAATGGACGAAAACTGTAAAGAGAGTGAGAGAAAGGAGGCCGGCTTCGCCCTCATCCCTACTCCGTAATGTAAATGATCGATTGTTAGTTGATCAATTATCGACCGGTGAGAGTTGATAAAAAAGATATAATTAAAGCATATTGTAATTATAAACTATACATGAAAATTATATTCGATTGCCATCTTGAAACCCTATTGCGGAATATAAAAATCGCGCTTAAAAAACAGAGGTTGATCGTAAAAGGGTGAAAATTTGAAGTTGTATGTATTTTTCAATGCTAAATCATATTTAAATAAAAATAAAAAATTTTGTCAAAAAAATAAAAAAATATTTTTTTTTTTTAGGGGGCACCCTTATCATTGAGGGGTATGAAAAATAGATATTGGCCGATTCTCAGACCTACCCAATAAGATATATATCTACATATAAAAGATATATATCTAATATATAAAATTGTCGTGTCACGGTGTTTGTTACCAAACTCCTCCGAAATGGCTTTACCGATTTTAATGAAATTTTGTGTGCATATAAGGGTGACCCTCCCCAAAAAAAAAGAAAATAATGTATATGGTAAAACAACATTTGCCGAGTCAGATATATATATATATATATATATATATATATATATATATA